CAGTTGTCCCTCCAGGTCTTTGTTCCGAACTTCTACTTCCTTTAGAAACAAAAAGTGTGATATATATATACAGGTCAGTTCATGACTTAGAAAACAATGTTAATGATTGTTATTACTAATATGGTGGCAGTTATTGCAGTTTGACCATTAGGATGAGCTTCTGAATCGCAGGGTAACACAACTTTAGGAGATTTCAGACTTTGCCATCTGAGAAATCCATCTGGTTTTACTGACTTGTTTAATCATGAATTCATCTATCCACCCAATAAAAATGTACCTGCCTGCTTCCTTTGTGCCAGGCAACCCCCTGGACACTTCAAATACCGAGACAGTATTGAAGGCACACTTTGAGGATTATCTATATCTCATTTCTGTTTCTGCTCACGTGCTTTTCCTAATGCACAACTGTTAGCCATCACGGATGAAAGCAGGCAGAGAAAAACAGAGAACTGAATTTTTTCTCCTTATTGGCAATTCTGGAGAAAGACTGAGAGAAGAAAATGACTCCCTAAAATGAAGTTTTAGAATCCTCTGAATATGTTAATTATTCTTTGTTTTGCCTCAAGAGTGAATGAATGCACAGAATAGGAAATATAGCTAGATTGCTAAAAACTGTAGTGAAGATATATAATAACTGTATATACAAGAATGATAAAGCTAACAATTTCAACACACTTGAAATCAAAGAAAGAAAAAAAATCACAAAAAGGAAGTTCATGGCAACAACAAAAAATTTTAACACAATAAATTCTGGCACACTTAGACATTTTTATTGCTCTAAAAATGTTTCTGAACATGCCAAATACAGTAATTCTATAAAATAAAATAACATGAGCTACAGATTTAATTTTGATAAAAAATCAAATTGAGAAAACTAGCAGAAAACAACTATTATACTTTAAATAAACTACTCAGACAAGCAAAGGATTAAAACTTATAGTAGTCCCCTTATCTGAGGGGACACCTTCCAAGACCCCCTGTGGATGCCTGACTGCATAGTACCAAACTCACAGTACAAACATAGTACATACCCATGATAACATTTAATTTATACATTAGGTACAGTAAGATATTAACAATATTAAAATAGAATAACTATAACAATATATTATAATAAAAGTTATGTGAATGTGCTCATTCTCTCTCAAAATAGCTGATAACTCAGATGGCTAGTAAGTGACCAGTGGGTTGGTAGCCTATACAACCTGGATATGCTGGTTGATTTATGTCCCAAGTGGAACAGAGCAGGATGGCTAAAGATTTTGTCACGATGCTCAGACTGGTGTGTAATTTAAAATGTACAAATTGTTTATTTCTGGAATTTTCCATTTAATATTTTCAGACTGCCGTTTACCACAAGTAACTGAAACCACAAAAACAAAACCCTGGATAAGGGGGGAGCCTACTGTATATTCTTTTGGGAAAGCTCACTTTTACATCTGAGAGGAATTAAGTGGATGACACAATTTATATTCACATATGCAAATTATATGGGATAATGAAAAGATTTTGGTGTTAGTGACACTATATGAATCAGCCTCAGAAACTATTATTTCAAATGTTAGTACATCATTTAAATATACATCTCTAAAAAAATTCTATCAAGTCTAAAGGATAATGAAAGAATTTCTAATTATGGAAAGACAATTTGGTAAATAAAAAGAACTGCACATCTGTATGGATGAAGACAAACACTGGGAATTAATGTACAAATAGGAAATAGAAACTAGTTCAGGATTTTGGGATTATGGGTACTTTTTCCCAAAATTTGTCTTATAATACCTTTAAAAGTTAAACTTTTGAGAAAAATAACTGGGAAATGGCTTGAATACATAATAAGAAAGTAACAGTTGAGTTGGGATTCTGAACATGAAGAAATGTTCACATGCTTTGACAGAAATAACTAAGATCAAGGCTTAAGCAAGGATGCCTGGGAAATATAAAAAAGGAATTGAGTACCTATAATGATTTATAAATGAAGAATTTAAGGCATCTCAATCTAATCTTAAAGTATTTACTGTTAGATGTTTACCAGGTATGTTTTTAATCTCTTTCCTTTGAATGATCCACAAGATGAAGATAGTAAACTGAGAGCAGAATCTGAAACCAATAAAATGTTTATACATTTAGAAGGCAAGTTCATGGAGGCTCTAAACTATGAGGGAGAAAATAGACCCTCGGATCAAAACCTAAAAATTCCACTCATGACTGCACAGCATGCTCTCTTGCCTGCTTAAACAATAAGCTTAAGAGCAGAATGTTTCCGATTATAAAAATAGATGAAATGTCATTCACTAGAAAATACCCACTTCACCAGGCACCACCCAGTTTGCCCTCTGAAACCTTCCTTAAAAATGAAAGGCTTCCTTGTTCTCCTTGCCAATCAATGAAACATCCAAATAGTTTCAATGGAAGCAAGCAAAACACTGAATTCCCTCAGCTATTGAAATTGTGTTGTTCTCTCTAGAAGGAGTCTCATACTCTAAGCAATTTTTCTGATTGGAAGAATTTTAACAAGAGAGATCCAATACAATGCTGACGGTGCTGGTCTATTCTGAGGCTGAGAATGTGACCCAGAGCAAGAATAGACAACCCAGTGCACAGAGGTCAGTCAACATGAGACAACTGGAGCCCTGGATAGTGGCACTTTCCAGTTTTCTACCTTCTGTCCACATTTTCCAACCCTTTTATTGTCCCTCCTAACTCATTCTTCTGTTTATTATCATTCTTTTCCTACTCTTTCCTCTTCTTCTTTACTGATATGTAGGCAAGTTACAGGACAACCAGAGGCCTGGTTCAGCCCTCATAAAGCACTGCAGGCTGGAATGTGCTAAACAGTGCTTTAAGGGTAATAACTAAAAGAAAGTATAAATCCGAGTGGGCAGAAGGTCAAGCTCTGTATTTGTTAAATTACTAGAGTGATTAAAAAAAATTTTAAACAGCCCTGGTCGGGTAGCTTGGTTGGAGCATTGTCCTGTGCACCAGAAAGTTGTGAGTTTGATTCCTGATCAGGGCACATACCTAGGTTGTAGGTTCAATCCCTGGTTAGATATATATGGGAGACACCGATCAATGTTTCACTCTCTCTCTTTCCTTCTCTCTCTCTCTGTCTTAAAATAAAAAAAATCATTGGGTGAGAACTAAAAAAAAGTAAATAAATAAAAATAAAGTAAAAAAATTAAAAATTTAAACAATTATTACCACCATCAATGGGACCAGATCGGGTTCATTTTCTATAAATTTAAATCCTGAGTCATTTAATCCAAATAAAAGCTACAGAATAATTGTCTTTATGGACATCTGATTCAAATCTTAAACTCATACAAGTAATATTATTGCCCTATTAAATTATTAATGTTCATGTATAACAGGACATATAAATCATAAAAACAAGTATTAATAATTCATCAGAAAAATAAGTTAAAGATACAAATTTTGAAGAAGAGTTACTGAATAATCATTTACTGAGCATCTTCTATGGACTCGGATTGAAAATATGGCAGTAAATAAACAAAGATGGTCCCTGTTTAATGCAGCCTAGGAGGAGGACACTGGCAATAAAGAAGTAAACAGAACAGACTTCTGGGAACTCAAGGTAATTGTGACTATGTACACTGATAGCTCCCCAACCATCCTCCCAAACTATATACACCAATAATAATAAAACCACACAAATTCCACCACTTCAATGTAACTAGAAGAGAACAATATACACTTGGAATTACCTACAATTAGGAAATATAAGCACCAATTTCCAGCAGAGAGATTTCTCAAGCTCTCACTCTGACCCCTTGCAGAGGGCAAGGCAGGGTCCTGGAGGCAATGCACAGGAGAGGGGAGAGGCGATCGAAAGGCCTAAGGCTGGACTCAAATAACTCTAACAAAGAGAAAGACCACTGAAAGTGCCAAAATACTAGAAAAAGAAATAAGCAAAAAAGTCTTTGTAGACCAGAGCAGACTACAAGAAAGGTACTTAGCAATGTACACGAGATATGAGGAGGCAATCTTGGAAAGGGAAAACTTTGGAGAAGAGGGAAAGAAAAGCAAACGAGAAAGGACCCTATTGGAATCATATGGTAAAGGAAAGGGAAGCAACACAGGGACAGTTAGAATCTTCCAAGACCTAAGAAAATGAAAATACTGAAGGACACACAATCTCTCCCCCACTCTCTCCCTAAAAGAGGGTGTTTTTGAATTAAGAATTTGTAAACCACCACAAACTGCCACACTATCCATTAAATATGAAGGTGCCTGCAATATTCATCTACATAAACTGTCACCAGATAAAAACAGAAAATGATACCCTAGTGTGTATCAGTGGATAAAAACTAAAATCCCACCCAACCAAAACCAACTATGAAACAAGGAAACGCTAGCAGAATCCTCTACTCTGAATTGAATATTCTCAAACAAGCATTAAAAAAAAAGGCTTACGTCAGGTATTCAGATGCTTATAGAAATGGCCAAAAAACTGAAAAACAGGAGAGTTGATTAAACGCTTGATAGAAGCAGAAGAAAATGGAAAAATCACATCAGAAATAAAAACTGAATTATAAGATGCCCAAGGAAAAATAGATTTGAATAAAAATGATTTTTCATTCAAGTATTACTTTAAAAATTGAAGGGAATTTAAGTGAGCTAAAGTAGGGCAAATGGTTAGAGAGGAAGTGATTAAAACGGAAATGGAAGACAAGACATATCAATGTAGCTCCTGAAGAAGAAAAATACTCCAACAGACAGAACTAATATTTAAAAGTTTTATACAAAAAAACTTCCAGGAAACAAAAGAAGATCTGAATCTACAAATTAAAAGGGTCCACTGTGTAGCTGGGAAAACTGACCCTCAGCAATCAAATCTGAGAAATATCCTAAAACTATTAGACTTTTAAAAATAAAGAAAAAATTATCTGGGAATACAAGCAAAATAAGCCCAATCTGTGATGGCCAGAGAATTAGACTGAAATCATACTTCTCAAAAGCAATGTAAAAACAAGGTCCTAGTGCTCACTTTGGCAGCACATACACTAAAATTGGAAGGATACAGACATTAGCATGGCCCTGTGCAAGGGCGACAAGCACATTCATGAAGCGTTCCATATTTTTATATGACTGGCTAACCAATATGCTACACATCTGAAACTAATAGAAATTAGGAGTGTAAACCATATAGAAGATACAAAACAAAAACAAGGTAATGATGGAGTGGCATTTTTAAGAAATTGAACTAAAAAATTATGAACCAAGGATTTTATATCTAGTGCTAAGTCTATTTAAAGAAAGAAAGAAACAAACAAACAAACAGCTTAAACAAGAAAATAGATACCCATCAGCTCTTCTGCAACATTCTACTAGAGGATAAGCTAAATCTAACCAACAAATTACTGTAGAAACGTCAGAAAAAGGACTTAGGGTGATCACTTACCAGATTTAATGTTTATCAAAGACTAAAACAGAGGTTGATGATGGATTAAAAAAAAGAAATGAAAATGTACTTATTCTGACAAGATAGAAACAATGCAACTAAAAATAAGAGAAAAGAAGAAAGAGAAACTCAGAATAACTGTGTTACTATTGAATATGCAATACTTCAAAGTCAAAGAATATCATTAAAAACTAACAAAACAGATAATGAAAGTTTCACTATGACTACAGGTAAACTAGGAGCAGTTTTTAAAGGTGTAAGTTTAAAGGTAATTGCTATAACAAAGCTAAGACCATTTGATATATCAAATGATATAAGAGAAAAAAAAATTACTATAACATACCAAAACTATTACATAAAACAATGAGGCGTTGGGACCAAACAAAAAATTCATATCAATAAACATGACTGAAGAAAAAAAAATATTTTCAGTTTGGCTCACAAAGCACTATCCAACTGTAGGTACACAACACACAAGGAACATTCAAAAACATTGATTATATATTAGGTACCTCCAAAAGTAGCAGTAAGATATCTGAAGCATAAGTATTTTAAGAAGTACTCTGTGATCACAATAACAAAATTATAAAATAAGAAGATCCTTTCACCTAGAAATTAATGTAGGAAAGCCAAAATAATGAGATGGGCTCAAAATAATAAAGGTTGTGATACTTGTAGAAAAAGCAGCAAAGAAAGACATTTTTTAATGCTAAAAACCACAACTCACAATGAAAATATAACAATTATGTTTATGTAGCAAGAGACACAGCAGTCACCTTTATGAAGTAGAAATTGCAGGAGAGGTAAGAAGACCGATAAAAACACACTGATAAGAGACTTTAATATGCCCCCTCTAAGTATAGAACAGATAAAGTGGGACAAAAAAAAAAAAGGTAAGGATATATTACAAAATCAATAAAGAGCATTCATAAAAATTGATCATGTTTTAGATCATGAAAATTATACAAACGAATCCCTGTGATCACAATGCAATAAAACTAGAAATTAACAACTAAATAAAAAAATAAATAAGTAAACGGCCCTTCCACCAGGAAATTAAAACATTTTTTTTAAAAAAAGAATCTCTTGCATGAAAAAAATTAATAAAACCAATATTATAGAATTTCAAGAAATGATAATGATAATGAAAACACTAAATGTCAGCAACTATGAGATACAGTTAAAACAATGAGCAGAAGAAAATCTATAGCTTTAAACACATATAAATAAAAGAATATAAACAAATTGCCCTCTCTCAAAATACTAAAAAAAGAATAAAAAAGTAAACCATGGTAGGAATAATAAAAATGAAAGTAGAAATTCCTATAGTAGAGGATAGAAAAACATTGACACTGATTAATAAATAAAATGTTACTTAAAATAATTTAACACAATAAACATAAATTAATTTTACTTACTCAAGTATATAAAATAAGAAATGATAAGAGTTCCCATTGACTATATTAACATCTAGATGGAAAGCTGAAACAGATTAGTGTCTGCAGAAGATACTAAGAGAGAGGCCCAGATGGTTTCAAGTTCAATTAAACCTTTTTTTTTATTATTATTTATTTTTTGGTTACAGATATTTACCCCACTGGCAACCCCCTCCCCACCAATTAAACCTTTAAACACCAGATAATTTTAATATGGCATATATCATTCCAAAGCACAGAAAATTTTCCAAATTATTTTATAAAGCTAGGAATGCAAAGGGGGTTCAGTACTAGAAAATCCATTAATAGAAACAACCATATTAACAGATCTACAGGTATTAAAAAGGCCATTAAGAAAAATCAACATTCATTCTTGGTAAAAACACTGAAGAAAATAAAAATGAAGGATACTCTTACAACATAATGAAATATATACATATATTTTTGTGTTAAAGCCAGCATTTCACTTTATACTATTAAATACTAGAGACCCACTAAGATCAGAAACAAGATAAGCCCATCAACTGCACTACTGTAGTAGAGGTGCAGATATAATTTCACAAGAAAAGTCAACAGAGGCATAAGAATTGGAAATATAAAATAACCTCTATTGGCAGATTACATGTTAGTATACCTGGAAAATCTTAAAGAATCAATGAAATAAAATGATAAATCTAGCTTAAACAATATAATAATAATTTAGTAAGGTAGCAGGATATAAAATTAGCATGCAGAATTCAACAGCTTTCATACATACAAACAATAATCAATTAAAAGATACAAATGACAGAGAAAACCCCATTTGCATCAGGGTTGTGTTTTTTTTTGTTTTTGTTTTTTTGCAGTGGTATTAATTAGCAACTCAGAAATTACCTTCTGTGCTTTCTAGGACTGACTAAGTAAATACATTGCAGATAATGGGAATCAGATTTTTTTAACATTGGGGAAAGCAGTTACAAATATGAAAAATGAGAAAGGCTATAATGAACTCCAAAGAACTGAACTGCAATGGGAGGTATGAGTATAAATTCAGTTTAAAAAATTTATATATACACACAACACACACACACACATACACACACACACACACTATAGCTACTGAAATGGACATAATGTGGCATATGTTTACTTCTAGCTCTGTTTATTAAGAGGGCCTACACACAATGACATCTCAATAGCAAAAAGCTCGTTCAGTGCCCAGACCTTGGTTTCTAAATACTAATGTTTGCAAAAAAGAAATTTCTCCTTGGAGAAACAGCTACTTCAAGACTGGAGCTGAGAAAATCCAAGATGAGCTTGGAATATCTCGTGTTAAAACATGAAGAAGTTCTTTAAAGAATGATAAAGTCACATCCAAAGGACACTGAATTAAAGGGGTTCCCACTGGCCCAATCTGGGACAACCTGAACATCAAAATACACAGATATACATAGCAACTAAATACAACATGTAATCCTAGAATAAATCCTGGACAAGAAAAACAATTTTTAAACTTTGTTATTAAAAAGATTATTAGGACAATTGTAAGACTTTGCATAGAGTCTTTAGACAAATAACTTTCTTGATTTTGATGATTATATAAGAGAATGTCCTTACTTTTAGAAAATGCATATTAAAGTATTTAGAGGTAAAGGGATATCATAGCTACAACTTATTCTCAAACATTTCAGGAAAAAAATATAGTATATACAGAGAGAGTTCCAGAATAATAAAACAAATATGGCAAAATGTTAACATTTGGGGGATGTGTGTGAAAGGTATATAAAAAATCTTTGTATTATTCTTGCAACTTTTCTGTAAGTCTAAAATTACTTCAAAATAAAACATTTAAAAATTAAGCAAACAAACAAGATCATTACCTATAGTGGTAAGTGTCACAAAGAAAATAAAACATGGTAATATTATAGAGTACCTGGAGTGGGTCAGGGTGGGACCTGCAGAGTGCTTAAGTTGGGAAGTCAGAGAAATTAACATGTGAGCTAACAGCCAGCCCATTTGAAGATCTGGGGGCTTTATTCCAAGAGCACTAAGGTAAAATGCACTTGATGCCTTCAAGATACACAAAGATGATGAATGATAAACATATCAATAATTATTCAGTCTTACAAGTAATAAAAAATAAGTAAAATAGTGAGTTATCCCTTTATTCCCTATTAGATAGCCAAGATGGGGAAGACCAATATTAAATGATTATCTTGCCTTTCCAGATATCAGTTTCTTGGCATGAGAAATTTTAAAACATTAAGTAATTTTCCTTTAAATGTTTATCTTAAAGAAATAAGAAAGGCAAAGATATATGTAAAGAAATTATGATATTATTTATCATAGCCAACATTGAAAATAACATGGATAGCCATCCCTGTAGGAGTATCTGAAGAAAACTGTTAAATCTATATAGGACAATATTATGCACAATATGACATATGCAGCCTATACTATAATGTTAAGTTAGGAAAGCAAGACTTTAAAAATAGTTTCGATGTGTCTCATGAAAAAGAAAGTTATCCAAACAGACAGTGAGGGGGAGAAAATGCTAAATGCTTTGCCTTAGGATGATGGGATTATGGTTCTGGTTTTTTTTCTTTCTGCTAAGTTACATTTTTCTTTCTTTCTTTTTTTTTTTTATAATGAGCATATGTTACATTGATATTTGAAAAAAATCAACTTGGAAATCAGAAAAGTCATATCATACTTTCTAATTTATCCATATCTATGAATCTTCTATCTATATTCATACCTTCAATCCAATTCCATGCACTGCAATTTCGAAAGTTCCTCTACCACTTAAGGAATTTAATGATCCCAATTGTTCTCACCTGAGGATATTTTTCCATTTATCTTCAGATAGAGTTGGGGGGGGGGGGGACATCGATGTGAGAGAGACACATTGATTGGTTGCCTCCCACATGACCCTGACCAGGGCCAGGGACCAAACTGCAACTGAGTTATGTTCCCTTGACAGGAATCGGACCCGCTACTCTTTGGTTTGCGGGCCAACACTCTAACTGCTGAGCCAAACCAGCCAGGACAATGATCCCAATTTTCTAGACTGAACTTGTGAATGAATGTTCAAGGGTGTTGGAACTTTTGATAAACAGATGTTTAAGTGGGAGGAATCAGACTATCAAAAAGGAACTTCTTCCCAATTGGGAAAAATACACGTTATTTCCATGGCTTTGCCTTTCAGAATTCATCCTTAGGTATTCTGAAAGCTTTCCTGTTCTGTTCCAGGTGGGTTGTATTGA